GCTGAATGCCTCCTCTTACCTGCAGCTCTTGACAACCCTAAAGCCCTTTCACAACTTCCTGTTCCTCTCTGAACTGGGCTACATCCAAAGCATGTGCGTGCATTTATCGGAACGCACGGCTTACATGCAACTGTTGTGCACCCTTGTAAGAGTACAGGTGTGTGTGTATGTGTGTGTGTGAGTGTCTCACCGAGCAAGGGAGGCAGTGAGGGAGTGAGTCAGCGCTGGGAAGATAGAGAGGCTCATTGAAAGGCCTGCGTGGTGAGGTGGTGGAGGAGAGCAGCCAGAACAGGCAGACACGCAGGCACACATGCTGTGAAGTTAGGAAGAGGACTGATAGATCTATTGCGCAGCCACTGCTGCTGCAAGAGTCGAACACACCTCAGGCAAATGGATGGGGAGTGAGTGCGGGGGTACCATTAGTCTTTCGGTGTGTGTGTGAGTGTGCCCTTTGTGTTTGAGTGCGTGGGAGAGGTATATTACATGGTCTTGGAGTGTAGTTTTTATGATGCGGTACTTCAAACAAGGCTTTGCAGTACTTTACAGTGCACACTCATTTACTGAGGGCAAATGTATATACAGATGTACAGTTATGGAGAAACAAGGCATATGTGCACATTAGTTAGGTGCCCGTATTGCTTCGTTTTTTCTATGCACGGTAACTACACACTTCCCAAACACCTGACCTGTAAGCACACAAAAGCATCATCTCTGTTTTTCTGCATTACCACAACAGACAGCCTCCACTCCCACACTCAGCACTCCATCTCACATATCAACTAGCTTTTGTCTTAAGCTCAAAATCACTCTTTTTATAGGGTGGAACAGTCATTTCTTAAAGAATTATCAAACAAAGCTAGAATGTACATTTTAGGTATTATGAATAGATTCAGGGAAAGCTCATCATGCAAGAAAATCATCGCAACTTGCTTGATTGTCCAATAAGCACTTAGATTTAAAGAAAAAAGTAAAGAACATCGTGTTCCTTAATTCTGTGGGTGCTGTATTCCAAGTATGTGCTGCTTGATAAGAGAAAAACCGAGTGCCCAAAACCACTTTTCCTGAGGGGTATTAAAGGGAAGCACTGTGTCTGTGTTGTTAAGAGATTACTAGTATTCTTATTGAGGCTACTTGCTTGTGACCTGCTTATTTGAGCTTGTCATTACAGAGGTTTGTGAATAAATCCGTGCGTCATTAGCAGCTCACCCACCAAACTTTTCCCTGTCATCAGTGTACACCGATCAGGCATAACATTATGACCACTGACAAGTGAAGTGAATAACCCTGATTATTTCTTCATTGCGGTACCTGTTAGTGGGTGGGATATATTAGGGAGCAAGTGAATATTTTGTCCACAGAGTTGATGTGTTAGAAGCAGGAAGAACCGGAAAGCATAAAGATTTAAGCGCACTTCACAAGGGACAAATCGTGATGGCTAGATGTTGTCAGGATGCGTTGCATACCTAGGAAACACCTGGCACCAGAGTGCACTATGGGAAGAAGGCAAGTCAGCAGGGGCAGTGTAATGGCTTGGGCAATGTTCTACTGGCAGACCTTGGGTTCTGCCAACCATATGGATATTACTTTGACATATGCCACCTCCCTAAGCATTGTTCTAGAGCAGTGTTTCCCAACCACTGTGCCGTGAGAAATGATCAGGTGTGCCGTGGAAGAAAAATTATCAATATGTTTTTTGTAACATTTTGTGTTTGGTGGTGTGCCGTGCGATTTTTCTAACGTGAAATATGTGCCGTGGCTAAAAGGTTGGGAAATCCAGAGCATGTACACCCTTTCATGGGAATGGTATTCTCCAATGGCTGTGGCCTCTTTCAGCAGGATCATGGACCCCGCCATAACGCAAAAACAATTCAGGAATGGTTTGAGGAGCACAATAACAGGCTTAAGGCACTAACTTAGCCTCCAAGCTTCCCAGATCTCAATCCATTCAAACATCTGTCGATGTGCTGGACACACAATCATAATAATAATAATAATGATGGATTGCATTTATATAGCGCTTTTCGAGACCCTCAAAGCGCTTTACAATTCCACTTTCATTCACTCTCACATTCACACACTGGTGGAGGCAAGCTACAGTCGTAGCTACAGCTGCCCTGGGGCAGACTGACAGAAGCGAGGCTGCCATATCGCGCCATCTGCCCCTCTGGCCAACACCAATAGGAGCTAGGTGAAGTGTCTTGCCCAAGGACACAGCGACCAAGACACACAGAGCTGAGGATCGAACCGGAAACTTTCTAGTTACAAGATGAGCTTCCCAACCCCCTGAACCACGGTCGCCCCCCCACACAAGTCACTATCATCTACGTCACCATCATCATCATCTTTACTGGTTCATACTTTCATTTTTAGAAATTACATATTTGTGCCTACAGTTGGCAGCTTGACATACAGCACTGAGCTCTCAAAAGGTTGAGTCGTTTGAAAGTTTTTTGCCATATGAGCAGGTAACTCTGCCGTTTGAGACATTTTTTTTTTATCAGTGTAAACAATCCAGTGGTAACTAATCTAAAGTCTTTGTTAATTAACTGATAAATTAGTCATTAGTCTCTGCAATGCTTTGTACAGTATATACAAAAGCATAAATATTTTAGACTGTTATGAAGAACATTTTACTCTTTGACAAAATATAAACACCCAAACGTTAGTCAGCAAGTACAAGGTCTGTTACTAGCTTGGTTTTCCAATGGCTGATTCTCTCTTAATAGCACTCTCTCAGAGATGACTGACCTCTTCTCTAGTCCATTTTTCACATGGTTTTGGCAGTGCACTCACTGAGCTGAGCTAAAGACAGATAACACAAAAGAGGGAAGAGGAGATGGAGAAGGAGAACAGACAGGAGGGAGAGAGAGAGAGACAGCTGCGTGATGGTAGCACAGTGAAGGTAAGCCACCATCCTGACATTTAAACAAGTGTCAGATACAGGGGGTCAGATGAATGGAAGCAAGCCGTGACCAGATCGGGGCTGTGTGCCGATTTCGATTTGTTACGAGGAGCGGACGGCAGCCCATCGGGCTTCAGTGCACCTGCCTGGATCGCTTGCGCTTTGATAGCTGCTCACCTTTCGGGAGATGCTTGTCCCTACCATCGCCAAGTATTTGATCAAAGAAAATCAAAGAGAACTGCTGCACTCCAAAAAATAAAAATAAAAATAGTTATGCATTTTGCCATTCTGTCCCATCCCATTTTCTTAAACGCTTGTCCAAGTCAGGGTTATGGAGAGGTTAGAGCTGTCACAGGTGAGGTGCACCGTCAACAGGTTGCTAGCAGGGCATCTTATGGGTTTAGATTTTCCATTGAACATAAAAGAAATAAGTAAATGACAGTATCAATAAATAAATATGTAATAAAATAAATTATATTTTAAAAAATACATTTGTAATTATAAATATGTATTTAAAAAGTACCACTTTTAATACTATAACAGACGTATCTTTTATCCTCTCTGCAACGTTATAAGGTCTTGGTGTTCAAGTGCACTAAGATCATTCACGTTGTAATTTGACATAGATATATATATAAAACAGTTACTGGGAGAGATGCCCAGGCAGAAATGGGAAGCAAAAAACGGCAAAAATCCTGTTTTTGTGCAGCTTTGCCTCACCTCAATTTGCCTTTCAAACACTAAAGAACTGTAAATTTCTCTTCAAGGTTACTAAGCCCTTCGTCCTCAAACTCTTCTTCGTCACCACTTTTCTGTATCCATCTACCTCTCTGTGACTGGGTGTAGACCAGGACCATCCTTTCCACTCATAAAATAAGTCTGCTTATATTTGCTTTTTGGCATCTCAGCAGTCCTGCATTCCAGGAAGGTGAGTTATGGGAAATGCTGTCTCCCACAAAACACAGTCCTAAGCTGGGATGATTTTTTTTTTTTTTTTAGTGTTGTACATAACTCAGGTCAGCTGGACACGGACAACACTAAACATCTAATTTCTTTTATTCGCAACCCAGGAAGATTCAAAGATGTTTGTCTCACCTCTTTTTATACCTCTCACTGTCCCCTCTAATCCACTCTGTTCTGTGTCCTGTGACCTGTAGATATATCCTTGCTACTAACAGGCATCCAAGTGTTGTCTTTAATGGCCAGGCGAACTCACAAAAAGGACCTGCCAAGATAATCAGCCTTTTTTCCCTATCCTCTAAAAGGCAAAGGTTCTTTTCCTCAACATTTTGACCCAGAGCATGCCCAGCAGGATATACTCATGTGTGTAACAGGGTTAAGAAGGCAGCTTCACCTTGAAAGGCCACACTTCAGAGCCCGGGAAGCCACAAAAAGCAATTAAAAGTATTGATGGAACTTCAATAGCTCTTAAACAGTGCTGCCAGACACCTCGGGGCAAGTAGCACACTAATCTTTTTTTTTCCTTTCCCCTCCCTCATCCCTCTATATTCTCTTCTCTTTCACAATTTCTTCACTTAAGACTTCACTGGTCTTCATCATTAAAAAATTGATTCCTCAAAAAGTATTTTCAGCCTTGTAAGGCAGCTGACCAAGGTTCTAAGAAGATGAGTTTGACAAAGATAATAACTGAAGTTTATCTAATCTTTGCTTGCTTGTTAGCCCTCTAATTGGCTGCATATGTTCAAGCATGTAATTGTGTGTAGTATGTGTGCCCCAGAAACAATTTCAAATGAGCCAGTAATGTCATTATTTCATGTGCATTACTGCGCGGATACTAATGGAAACACCCTTTCCAAATGATTGTCATCCGTACGACAAAGCAGGAACTCGAGGAAGAGATAGGGAAAGGCTAAGAGTGTGGCTCCCTTCCTAATCATCCTCTGAAGCAGGCCAGCGCCTCCAAGAGCAAGATGTTTACCTAGATCCTTTTTCTCACCAGATCACTGATTTACCGTGTGCACCTTTCTCGGCCGATGTCTGAAATTTACAAAAAGGTTTGGACTGCGGCTCCTGTGACAGGACACCCACAGAGTGACAGTCAATGCACTTAAACAAGGCACAAAAACTAGACACTTACCTTTGCACTGGTTAGTGTTCTTATCCAGAATGGCCTTGGTTGACACTATTTTCCCATACCTGTAAAAACAGAGAAATCTAATTTAGCGTTTTACACTCGTAATAACCCACAGGGCCTTCGCCTGGTCGGACAGTTCATTTGGATTACCAACCTGTGGTTAATATATTTGCCTTATTTTCTATACTTTGCCATTTAGTTACAACGAGCAATTTGCAAAGTCACAGAAATGTCAAAAGCCACTGGGAAGAGAAATCACTTGAGGTTAATAAAATTATGTGTATGGCTGACTTGGAATGAATGGGCAGCCCTTTGGCATTTCAGAGAGTCACTGAACATTATAAAAGGTCTAAAAGCATGCAAGTGCAATAAACGGTCCTAAAGGTTGCTCTTTTGGTGTAAAGTAAAATTCATGTGTTGCTAATGAATTTATTTGAAATCTAAAAACTATAAAGCGAACACATTTAAATCAAAGGTGACTCAAAGGAATAATGATACGTCTTAATGAGCTTTAGAGGAGCTGGTAGGGTGATATGATGTAACCTTCAGACAAAGACAGTACAGTGCAGTAGCCCCTCCTGCTTCTGTTCTTTATGTTAAGCTAACTGTCTGTTGACTCTGGCTTCAGAGTGAATGAACATATACCACTGGGCCCCTCAGAGCAGCTCTACCGAATACGTTACAATAAAAAAAAAAAATTGTAGGGAAAATTGGCAGCAATTGTCATAACAATTTGGGTCTTTTGGTGTATCTATCGTCTCAGATCTCCCTTTCAGAAAGAAAGTACCCAAGAAAATACCCAAATTTTACCGCTATGTTTGTAAATGAGTGAATAAATTCTAGACTCCCCGTATTCTGGCAGATTCTGTAACTGGAATTTGTGATATAACTTATTCATAAAAAAATATAAAACGTGTATGATGCTGGAGCCTATTTGGACCTGTGAAAATCCAATACAAAAGTTGAAATTGCCAAAGGAGCAGGACTGCATAAAGACACCTACGGTATGCTTATAAGCTTACATGTCACTGATGCAGCTCCACGCAAAAGCAAAAATATATTGTATTTCTTTATTCCACGGGTCTATATGCAAAGTGGCTTGCAAGGAATTTTTTGACTGACCTTCCTGACTGACAGACAGCAAGATCTTCTATCTGCTTGTCTCAGCTAAAACTGCAATATGCTGCACTGTGAGCTGCTCTCTAAGTACACTGTGTGCACTAATGTACATGCGGAGATATACTACATGCATGCATGCGTGCATGTGTGCTGATATGTAAGTGGGAACAATTCCCTGTATGTCAAAAGCACATCACAAAGACTACACCAAAGGACAAAAAACAGCCACCCTCAACGCTGCATCTGTGCACACACACTTGCATCTGGGCACACACACTTACATACACTCACACTTATTCTGTAGGGAAGAAGCAGTGGTGCATCCCGGCCCATATTTCACCAGCAGGGGATAATTGTGCCATTTCTCAACGAGTGGTGGAGACTCTATTTATTGCATGCTGCGGTGGGATGGGTGGTGGATATGAACTGATGAGCTCCGAGAGGAAAACTACCAGCTCGCACACACTAATACAGATACCACACGAGTACACCCACACACACATACACGCATACAAACACACAGAGTGACAGCACTCACCAATCAGTGGATTGTCTCTCTTCAGCAGATAAACAGGCCATTTTAGCCATAGGGATTCATAATCTACTGCAACAGAGTGGGACTAAGGTGCAGCGTTTGATCATACCGAGACACTCTCAAGCATAAGCACACAAGATGAACATGGAACAAGGAGTTTTCACTTGATTAGTGAATGTGGAGAGCTGGGGCAAGTGCCTTCAGCACTCGCTGAGCTACAAAGCTGTAAGTAATTTTGTAGCACATTAGAGATACAAATTTAGATTTGATTTTTAAGTATTGATAAAGGAAGTAGGTGGGAATTACCTTTGTGTTCTACTAATACATTTCAAGTCATTTGAATCGTTTGACAGCAAACATCTTCAAAATTAAAAAAGCCTAACTTTTAACTAAACGAGAACATTAAATAAGCATTCAAGACGCAGCATGTCAATAACCACATAATCAGTTGAGGCAATGTGTCAAAATTTCCCAGCTACCCTCAGTCAGTTTAGCACCTGCTGAAGGCGGGGGTAACACGTGCTGAAATAATAAGGATGTAAAACTACATGGAGAGCTTTAGTCTGGTTCTCAAATATGAATTATTGGTTTTCTTTACAGCTTTAGTTAATATTAAATCGTAACTAGTCACTAAAGACATCTTAACTGTAATTTAGTCACTGCCCTTTGCGAAAGGAATATTTCAGCGGAATAAGAACGTGTCTAACACCAGCTGCCAGGTCCTATTGCTGTTTCTACTATTTTACAGGTGATTTTTTTTGACTGAATTAACACTAAAGGAGCAAAACTTAAACCCCCAAAATAAAAAACAGGTGATGGAGTCGGCTAGTCACTGAGAGCCTATTACTCGCCCAGCCTTACCAGCGATTATATTCATTCTTACGTCATAGTACTGATTTTGTGCTGATTTACCGCCAAACACCACAGTATATGAAAGGGATTGTTATTTGTTTATGTGCACTTAGGTGTCTGCCCTCCTTCAGTACTTGCGTGAAATTTTTTGTATGCTTTCAGTCTGGGAAGCAGTTAAAAAGCTCTGTGCTTTTGGCACAAATTGGGGGAAAGTTCTCATTAAAACTTTGTTTGGACTCTGGGGAAGCAGGAGACAGTAGCTTTCCAATGCCAACTCATCACTGCTTGCCTCATTAAATGTTAAAGATGGCTCATCAATGGATCCTATCCGCGATCCAAATACACGCCACAAAGATACTGCAGCGAGATGAAAAGGCAAGAAGGAAGGAGCAAGCTTCAGGCCCATAATGGAAACATATTGGAAATGGATGAAGAATGTGATCAGTATGGTCATATATGTGTCGTGTGTGTGTGTGTGGGGCTGTGGATGACCCTGCTGGAGGCTCCTTCGCCTCTCTGCCAGGCAAGCCTGGGGAGGCTTTGATGTGACAGAGGCAGTCCCTGTGAGGCGCAGGTTTAACACTGTGATGCTGCGGCCGGGATGCAGAGCCTGTCTCCACTAATCCTATTTCAATCACTCTTCCAGCCTCTTATCTCTGACTCTGCTGGCCTTCGGCCCTCCCCCCCTCCTTACAAATCTTCTTCTCTTACTTGTTCTCTTTCTGTCTTAATGTCTCTCTACCATCTACCATTTCTCTTTCCTGTACTGTATCCTTATTTCTCTCCTTTTGTCTCTCTTCGCCCTCCTTCTTCCAAATAGAAATACAATGGCAATCATTCTGATGCAACATCGGATCAACCCCAAGAAAAAGAGACACCAGAAATAAAACTGCCTATAAAACAAAGGCTTTACGAGCTATTTTAGGCTGATGAAAATGTACAAATTGTGGTTGATGTAAAACATGTCATTCGTTTGACAGCTGTCTAGGCACTGGAAATGTGATAAAATTGAAGCTGAGCTACATTTCTTTTAGAGGGCAGCTGCATGTGCATGAGACATCCCAGAACGGCATTTCTTTCTTTCTTCTCGCTCTTGCTGGATGAAAGGATCCAGGCGTATTCCATTTCCGTCATCAGAGCTGAGAAAGTGAAGTGTCTCTTTGCTGTACGTGGGCAGGCAGAGAGCTGCCCAGAACCACAACACGTCAGTGTGGTACGTACAAAAGCACAGGAAAGGAACGGGTGGATGGACCACCCAAGTGTTGTGCTTAGACCTTGCCCTCTGCCTCTTGACACACTTTACAAAGTGACTGTGTGTTTGCACGATTACACAACACAGCACTGCCTTGAATAGCAGGTAGGTGAAACCTGAACTTGGATGTGGGACAACCTCCTCACATCTGCACTCCCAGAAGGTCTTTATGCCAATGCTTGGTGAGTTGTGAGTATGCGTTTCTTTTCCTGTGCAAATGAAGGCTACTATAACGGCATATGATAGCCCATCTGTGCATGCATATGAAGACTTGAACATAAGCACTACTTGTGTATACTGGGCGGCACTGTTTGATCAAGAACAAAGGAAAAGTAGCAAAAAAAAAAAGCAAGGAGTAAAATCAGCTGAATATTGTATAAAAGCAGCAACACTCTTTTTTTAGGCTTGTTCAGCACCTTTGGAGAACCCGTGTAGGGACTTGGGGCAGGTGCAAAGGCACACTATGGAGAATAGTAACTGTATTTTATCATCTCTGCAGGTCTTTATACAATTAATTAGAATATAGATACTCTAGCTGAAAAAAATATGAGCAGTGAGGGTTCTTCCCATGTAAAACCAGATGCAGGAGACACCCACTATCCAGATTTACTGTTTCCTCTGAGCAGTAAATATTACCCCGAGGGTTTCCTTAACCTTAAAAAGCACACTGTCTTATTAAATATGTGTAATGATTATGCCATATTAGTACCCTTGTGAGTTGCACACAGCAGCATTTGAGTACATTAACTCCACTAATTTCCAGCAACAGGCAACAATCAGCTGACTGAACAGCCATATTTTTAAGGATGAGTCCCGCCATAGTAAATTTTAGCAGCTGTGAATTTGGCTTGACGAACATCTGCTTAAAGTTGAACAGCAAAGTATAACACAACACAAGTAGAAGGATGGATACTACAAAAAAAGCAGTTTTCTCCGTCTTATTTTGTTCTTTTTCCAGTAATCAGTAAGAATATATGGACATACTGTATTGTGAAATTACACCTATTTGAGAAAAACAACATTACATATAGTTTTATACAGCACATTTTATTTTGTTAAGTCTTTGATGGTAATTCAAAAGACAGGTGTCACTGCGGCAGATGCACAGAGAGGGCAGAATGGGAGAAAAAAGATGGGAATGAAGCGCGCCTTCTTTATAGTCTTACATCAAAGATAAAAAAGAAAAACAGGATGTAAGAAAGAACCAAACATAAAGAGGATGACAGATGAAAACGGGAAATCTTGGGCAAAGATCACATGCGAGCACTTAAGCCTTCGAGAACACGAGTCATTAAAAGACGAGA